TCAGCTGCAGCAGCAACCCTCCCCTTTTCCAAAAGCCAGAGCCAGGGAACTGCCCCCCGAGATCTGAGAGCAGATCCCCACAGGATACCCACAACCCCCAACAGCAAACAAACTGCCCTTGGCTTGTGGAGACCCTGTGGATCAGCAGGTTAATTAAAACAGGAACACATCCAGGCACAGTTGGGAAATGAGGGAAATTCCAGAGGGGTTACAAAGCAGCGGTAGTTTTCTTTTCTCCAGGGAGAAGCAGGGAGTCTGACGCTCCTTTGTTTTTAGGCAGTTGCACTTGGTATATTATCATTACATATTAACATATTATTTTTATATTATCATTATTAATTTTATGTTATAGAAAAATATATATTTGCTTTCTTTTTAAGTTAAGTGAATCGAGAATTATTTTTATTATAAAGCAAAAAAAAAAAAATTGAGAAAAAAACACATTCCCCTCTATTTTTTTGGCCTAATTTTCAGTCTTGCAATGACTGATGTGGGCAAGACAGAAAACAGGCAGCGAGAGGAAAGGCACACAAGCCGCCTGGATAGAGGAGGTGGCTGAGCCTGGATGAAGCACAGCAAACCACAACTGCTGATACAACCCACCCAGTAGGAAAAAAATGCCTTTTTTCAGCTTCGTAAGTAAAAGAAACACCAGAGGTGGGGAAAAAAAAACAGTATTAAAAAAGTACAGAAAGTCTCCAAATTTTTCAAGTAAAACAAAACTGGAAGACATCTGGGAAAGAGCAAAACAATTAATACAATATATTATTCTACTGCAGATCATGCATTTTGTTAAAGCCACTACAATATGGCCTTTTTATTGTGGTATTTTAGAAATAATAATATATGATGGAAAATTACTTAAAAAAAAAAAAAGACAAAATGCTGTAGGATGTTGAAACAAAAACATGTTGACATTTCCTGAAATGCAGTATTTTCTTTTGAAAATAAAATTAGGTTTTGTTTTTTTCCAGCTGAAGCTACTGAGAAGTACAGATGGGCACGGATGTCAGAAAACATCGTTTTCCGGCTAGTTGCCCCATCTGAGGAAGAGGAGGCTGGCTCCGCAGCTGGAAAGCAATGGGTGTTAATATTGACTTGGAGGACACTTTGTTAGTACTTTTTCTTCCCGCCAAACGTCTCCAGTGAAAAGCGGTCAGATCCACACCCAAAATACTGCTAAGGAAGGAGTCGGATGTCTCTTCACCGGAACGGGAGCACGCGGCAGTGCGGAAGGGAACGCCAGCCCTTCCTGCAGCAGGCCCCGCATGGAAGCCCCGGGAGGGGAAGGCGCGCTCCAAACGCGAGCACAGCGGGAGCGCTGCGGGACGCGGGGGCTGGCGGGGCTCCGGTGGAGCGGCGGCTCCGGGGGCTGCGGAGAGCCGCGGCTCGGTGGGTCGCGCTGCCGGCGGCGCGCAGGTACGTGCGGGCACACACGAGAGGGGAGCGCGTCCTCGCGTACGTGTGGCAGCGGAGGGAGAGCGGGAGGGAGGGAGGCGAAAGGCGAGCGGGGAGGCGGGGAATGCGTGCGCACCCCGCGGGGCGGGCCGCGGTTGCATCAGACGGGGAGGGTCGCGCTCCGCCCTGCATCTCCCCCGCCGCAGCCTCGGCCCGGCCCCGCCCGGCCCGCGGAGCGCTGCCAGGCGCACCAAAGAATCGAGCAAGGTTGTCTCCAGCCGCCGGAGAAGGAAACGTTGCGGCGGAGAGGAGAAAGGGAGAGGGGGAAATAAAATTTAAAACTCTGTCGCCCGGGCCCGGCCCTGTCTCCCGTTTCTCGCGGGGCTGCGGCCGGGCAAACGCCACCAGCAGCCCCCGAGGGAGGGGTCACGGGCGGGTCCCAGCTATGGCCGCCCTGCCCCCCGCTTCGGGCGGGGCGGCGGGGAATGTTCCCCCCTCTGTCCCCGGCCCTGTGCATCCCCCGGGGGTCACCGGGGCAGGAGGAGGCGGGGGCGGGCGCGGCGTTCCCCCGGCGCGGTTGCGATAGCGGCGGGCGGGGCGGCCCTCGGCTGCCGCGCAGGCAGAGAAGCGGCATCGATCGCTCGCGGCAACAAGGACAGCAGCGACGAAAAAGAAAAAAAAATGTTCAAAATAATAGCGGTGCGGTCAGAGGGCACATCCCAACCCTACGTGACGGAGAAGCGGCGTGGACCCCGCCCGCCGCCTCCCTCGCCGGCTCCGGGACTGCAGCCGCGCCCTGCCCCCGTCCCCCGCCCGGGGGGGCTTTGGCTTGCGCCGGCTGCGGGGATAGGCCGGCTCGGGGAGGCGCCGCTATTTATTTTCCACCGAGATCACTTAGTTCGTGCTGGGGCAAAAAAAAAAAAAAAACCTAAAAACGGAAAAAACTTTAAAAATGAAAGCATCACAGTTTGGGTTTTTTTTTTTTCTTTTTCTTTTTTCCTAAATCTTCGCGATTGTTTTCCACGTTTAGCGGGCTGGATTGCTCAGGCCCGCCGGGGCGGCTGCGGTCTCCGCGCGTGGGGAAGGAGGGTGGGCACGGAGCGCGCCCGGGGCAGACGGCGGCGTGTCCAGCGGTTCCTCGCAGCCGCCGGAGCGGAGCAAGGGCAGCGCCGGCGCCGGCCGTACCCGCTCCGACCCCTCTGCCCGGCCCTGCCCGAGCCGGGGCCGACACTGAAGTGGGGCTGGCGGCCGGCGTCTCGCCCCCTCTCGCCGTCCCTCCCCAGCGCTAGCCCGGCACAGGCCGGCGTTCTCCGGGAGGTTTCGGAGCGAAGGCGAGCCCGGGCGCGGCCGGCATAAACAACAGGATCGCGTTGCACCGGGGAGGGGGTTGGGTCCTGGCGAGCTCGCAGGGAGCTGTGCTCCCCCTCCGCCCCCGTTTTGTGTTCTTTTACGTGTTAATTTATTCCTCCCAAGCCCTGGGGCTGAGAACGCTGCTTCTCCGGATCCCCGGGCGGAGGGGCCGCTCGCACCTTGGCGGGTGTGGCGGGAAGGGTCGGGCACCCCGGCCATGCTCCGCACTGCGGGAAGGGTCGGGCAGCCCCGGCCATCCTCCGCACTGCGGGAAGTGTCGGGCACCCCGGCCATGCTCCGCACTGCGGGCATTCCCTCCCGCACCCCGTGGTGCCAGCCCTCCCCGTGTCCGGCGGCGCCCGGCCCGCGGATCCCTGGCGGTGCCGAGGGCCGGCGGAGCGCGGCCCGCGCCTCCGGCAGCATCCGCCGGGCCCGGGGCGGGCGAGGCGCCATCTTTGGTACCAGGAGCGGCCGCCCGGGGAAGATGCCCCGGGGCTCCGGTCACCAGCGCGGGCCCCGCAGCGAGGGACGGAGGGACAGGCTCGGGTAAACCCCGGGATAGGCTGGCTCTCCGATGGCGGCCCGGGAGGCGCTCTTTTGGGCTCGAGTTTGAAGCCTTAGGAGTCAGGAGGACTAAGTGCAAGAAATACCTCGAAATACCTCTTCTCTCTCAAAAAAAAAAAAAAAAAAAAAAACCAACCCCACCCCAAACCCCAAAAACATTTTGACACAGAAATTCCACTTTTATACACCAAGAGGGCACATCATTCCCAATTACCATAGAGGAGACTCAGAAGCATTTATGTTGGTAAAGCCCTCTTTTGAATCCAGCTGTTCACCCAGCACTAAACGCTGTCCATAAGTGCCACATCCACATGTCTTTGAAATCCCTCCCGGGATGGTCACTCCACCACTGCCCGGTGCAGGTCGTTCCAATGCCTGAGCACCCTTCCATGAAGAAATGGCAACGCTGCACTAAGGGTGCTGCATCCTTTACTTTCACCTCCACCAGAGACCCGTGAAGAGATGGGCACTCAAAGGAAAACTGTTGTTATTTCTTGCAGTCTTATTTCCTCCTGTGCCAGGCTGAGGGACGTTGAAACACACACTAATGAAGACCATATTTCTTATATATGGCAGTTTTCTTTATTGATTGCTTGATGTGAAACAGTATCAATCTGGATTTTTTTTTCCCCATACATTACAAAAAAAAATTAAATTGGCTCAGTCTGCAATCTTTTAAGCACAGCCATATTAATTATGAGAAAAAAAAAAAAAAAGAAAAAAAAAAAGAGAAAAAAAAAACTTCTAAAAAGTCTACCAAATAGAGCATTTACAAATGCACAAAAACATGCCACTTTGGCTTTATGGGGAAAAAATATTGTCTTCTAGATTAAAAAAAAAATCTTTTAACATAAATAAGTTAGTATAATTTCTCAGTGTCTTTACAGAGTTATGTACACAGGTACACTTCAAACTTTTTTTTTATTTTTACATACAAGTACACAGGCAACGTAGAAATACTGTTTAAAGATGTAGTATCCCTTTTCCTCTCACACTCAGGAAGTGGGTCAGATCAGAAAACAACAATATTCCAGATTCAGAGCAAAAGCCTTCCAGATTAGGTTAAAAAAATAATCAGGAAATGTATTCAGGTGGGATGATTTTACACAACTTTTTACAGATTACAAGTTTTGGTATATAGATTCGGAGGTGTGGGAGAGCGAGGAACTTCTGCTACTATATAACAGAATCATCATAGCGCCCTCCTCTTCAGTTCAATGCTGGAGGAAGAAATTTCACAATAATTGCTCTGAGCAGTTACCACGATGATACATTGAAAACAAATCTAAAATTTTTTAAAAAGAGAGGAAAAACACTATGGACCCACTTAAAGGGACAATACATCTTTAAGTAATAAAAAACCTACACTGCTTCTCTTCATAGATTTCTTGGCTTGCTAGATTGTGAAAGCAAGTTCCAATCGGTCACCCTCTTCCAGTCCCTCCCCCCTCCCAACAAGTTTTATGTGCTACATAAGGTAAAAACTATATACACAGGTAGTACAATGAAGCAAATAAGGAAACACCTAATTGCACAATGCTACATCCAATGCTTTTAGAGGCAGGTCTTTTAAGAATGCCTAAAATTTAGTGTTATTGTTTGCTTTTTGTTGCTGGTTGTTTTTGTTTTGTTTTGTTTTTTTCAGTGCTTGTACAGGACCTCCATGTCCCGGAGATCGGCGATATGTATTTTTTTCCTTTCCCACTACACCTCTTCATCTTCCTCTCTTCATCGCCGCCCGCCGCACCCGACGAACGAGGACGCACATCCTCTGCTCTGCAACCCGAATAATGAAGGGAAAAAAAAAAAAGAAAAAAAAGAAAAAAAAAAAAGACCGGGGAAAGCGATTAGAAAACATCGACAAGAAACGCGATCCACGGCGCAACCGGTTCAAACCGACACCGCATCCCCAGGGCGGGCGGGCCCAGCCCGGGCGGGGCCCCGCCGCCCCCCCGCCCCGGCCGCGCTCCGCACCGCTGCCAGCGGCCCCCCCGAGCCTGCATCCCTCGGCGGGGAACGCGGGGGGACCCCTCCCGTGCCCCCACCCCCAAAAGCGGGCGGGAGTAGCGGCATTCACACGGCCGCGCTCGGCCAGGCTCACCCCAGCGGGACTAATTTGTTGCAACTTCTGCTTTACAGCTTAATATCTCTCTCTCTGCACAATCACAAATCGTTTTATTGTAAACCTCATTCCTAACCTCGGCTCCCAAACCGCCAGCGCAACTTTTACCAACTCTCCCCGCACCAGCCCTCGCCTCAAAACAAAAAGGGGGTAGGGGAGAAAGAAAAAAAATAAAGAAAAGAAAAAAAAAAAAAAAAAAAAAAACTGCACAACCCAGCCTCCTATTAACCCACTCCCTTCCCCCCGCCAGTCTCTAAAACCAAACCAAAACAGCACAAAAAAAAAGGGCGGGGGGGCGGGGGGGGGGGGGGGCTGGGGAACCCCATACCAAACACAACAACTTTGCATTGCTCGGATTTTGAGAAAGTGCTCGGATTCTCCTTAAACCCAACTTCGTGACTTATTTCTCCCGCAGTGCGAGGTGGCCGCGACATGCGACGGCAAGGCTGACACTGGAGGCGAAAACGCCCCAGGATCAGGGGACAGGGGAAGTCCCCCGAAATCCGCTGGCATCTGACATGATGCACCAGCCGCGCTTCCAACTCCACCCCTGCACCCGCACGGTCCTTGGGAAAGGGCCCTCCTTGGCCCCGGTGCCCATCCCGCAGACAGGCAGGGGCAGTACCACCGCAGCCCCTGCCCCAGCCCCCTGACGCTGCCGAACCCAGGCTGGGCTTCGCTCCTTGTTTTGTTCTTTTCAAGCCCTGCGCCTCCCACTCCCCACCCTCCAACACACACCCACTGCCGAGTGCTCGGGGAAAGCCACCCTTCCTCGGAGAAAACACCCCTCGGCGAGCCCACAGGGGCTCGAAGCCCCTTCCCCACCCCTTTAGAGATGCGGGATAGACACTCGGTCACTCCTTCTTTCCCTTACTTGCATCCTAATGCCAGATCCTAAAGGGAACTGACCTAAACGCTTTACGTTTGATGTCTTCCCGGGCTTGATTTCTTGGGTGTTTGCTCCACTGAATTGGCACTGGGAGAGTCTTCTGAAACCTCTTCTTCTGTTGTATTGGCTCTTTTATTTTGAGGAGAGGAATCTAGGAGGTGAAAATTAAAAACGAAGGGGGCGGGGGGGGGGGAAGAAAGATATTAAAATATTTTCCTTCCAGATGTTTGCTTGGCATCCAGGCATCCAGGGGGGATAGATGGAGCCGAGGGGGAATATTCTTAGATCCCCATGTCAGGTATCAGCTGCGTGAAGCGAGCAGGGGGTGGGGAGATGGGCTTCTCCCTAGGTAGGAGACGCAAGTTCCCTCTTTTCGGCTAAAATCCATATTCGTCTTTTGCTGAACGCTGTGAACCTCCTCCCACCTGGGCAGGAGCCCGGGTCCCGCAGTGGGACAGCGAGGGGTCGGGGAATCTGACCCCCGTCTAAGGGCTCGTCCTTGCAAATCATCTACCGGCTCCCACTCTAGGCGGGACCCCCGGGACTGCCAACACTACCCGGGCTTTTTTAGGGGGAAAGGGGCGGGGGTGGTGGGCACACCGAGCCGGTGCCACGCGTGGCAGGGGCGGAAGGGCTGGAGCGCCGGCGCTGACACGAGTGGGACGCGGAGCAGAGCCGTGGGGTACGTTACCATCGGCTGCGGGTCTTTTCCTCTGGGCAGTGCACTGCTCTGCTAAGTCCGTCTGATTTTCTGAAACATCAGTCTTTTGAGCTACACAGTGAGTGTCCTCTGAGATTCCCTGAGAACCGACAAAAACCACGGTTTGGCAATTCCCGTTTACATCCAAGCTCTGGCGGCCAGCAGACTTGCAGACGGCTTTCCGTAGCCGGGGGGGTCTGAAGTAGAAGTCGGGCGAGCTCCCCTTCTCCACGGCTTGCCACTCGTACCTGCCTTCCAGCGGCCTGTGATTCTGGAAATCGAAATTCCACTTCCTCTGGTACGCCTCCTCCATCTCCTGCAGGTGTTTCTTAAATTCCCTGTTGAGCTCTTCGTGGTTCACCGGCCCGAAGAGGTTCCGGCACGCTGACGGCTTCGGGTACTCCGACTGCCTGGCCTCCATGCGCTCCAGGGTAGGACTCCCATTAGAAATGCGGACGTTTGACATCTCCCCGCACGCTGTAGCTCCGGGCGGCGGTTGTTGTTCTCGCTGCTCTCTCTCCGCGGCCTCCGCCGCCCTTTATTTCCTGGCACCCGGGCGGCTCCGTTCGGCGCCTCCGCTCCGCGCTGCCCCGCGCTGCGGCCCTGCCTCGGCCCCGCTCGCCTTCGGTCGGCGGAGAAGGGGCGAGGAGGCGCCCTTGCATAAGCGCCGGCCCGGGGATGAGCCCCGAGAGCCGCCGCTGCCGCCGCCGGGAAGCCCCGGGCGGGTGAGGAGCGGAGCGCAGCGCTGCCCCCGCGGTGCCGGCCCGCCGCCGATGGCGATGGCGCTGGCGCTGATGATGCCCCTGCCGATCGCACCGCCGCCGCGTAGTAAAAGCGAGACGGAAAAAAACAAGAGACAAGCCCTTTTCTTGGTTGCCCAATATGGCGATTGAAGGGAGTCTGACGAAGAAGAAAATGATTGACAGGACGAGTCTATTTAAACAGCCCGGCTGAGCCATTGGTTACGGCGGCGGGCACCGCCCCGTCCGCCCGGTCCTGCCCCGCCGCCGCCGCCGGCTCTAAAGGTGGGACGGGGCGAGCTGGGAGCGAAGGGAAAACGAGACGGGTGGGACGGCACCACCGAGCCTGTTTTTCTCATCCCTCCGTAAAGCCTGCAAAACCCGACGGGGTTTGTGCCACCCCACAAAAACACGCACCGCTGCTGGCCCGGGTGCCTGAGGAATAGTGACGGCTGGTTTTGAGTCAAAGCAGTGACAGGAGAGGCTCACCGCGCTGGTTTGCCCGGGTGGGCTCTGGCGACACGTCCCCGGTGAGGTCCGGGGCTGGGGGCAAGCTCGGGGCTAGTGGGCAGGTTGACCACCCCACGGCATGCCGCGGGGATCAGCGCCCTGATCCGCAGCATCCCGAGTGCACTGCCTGCGGAGATGGGCTCATGGCTCCTAGTGCCAAGACGATCATCTCCTGCCCTCTCGGCAGAGAGAGGACTAGCTTAAGAAATGTCTCTAAAATAACATCTGCCGGGATTTCAGATGTCAGCTACTCGAGGAAAGAAAAAAAAATAGCATTGGGGTTTGTCCTGTTTGTATGCCCAAAAGATCAGATGAGCAGAGAGTCACAGCCAGGGATTTTCTAAGCAACTTCCTCGTATAGTTAAGAGCAGGTGTAGTGGACATAAGAACAATTGTGCACTCCTCTCTGGTCCCCTTTTCTCCAGCCCTTTCTACAGCCATCTTCACTCACCAGGCAGGGCACGCCCCCAGAGTGTTGTGTGACACTGCAGGATCTCTCAGGCACTAAAGGTTGTGACATTTCCAAGTGTCCAGATCCGGTGACTGAATCTTCGGCGGGCCCTGAAGGCTCTTCACGCCAATCCACATCTGGACAGGTCTCTTGCAAGCAGAGCAAACCTATCCAAACGTCACGGTGGGAGGGTGAGGGGGATACACAAGTATCTCAACAAGGCAGGGGTCAATATAATTTGGTTTAACTGGTTGAGATGAGAGTCAGCAGGTTTGGCCTTGAAAATGTGGAGATTTTACACACTGGAGAGAGGACACAGCAGGAGGACACACTGAAGAGAGGACACAACAGTGGACTTCACACAGTGTTCAAACCCAGGCCAGCACTTTGCTGGCCATCATCAGGCCTCCAGCTTATGCTCACACCACTCAGCAGAGCACCATCAGACCCAAGTTCAAAAAAAATTATGCATACAGGCAAAAAAAACCCCAAAACAAAACCCAAAAAAAACCAAAACCAAAAAAAAAACCCAAACCAACCCAAAACACAACAAATGAGATTAGTTTAAAACCCACAAGGTTGAAATACATTATTAGCCACATTATTTTTATTTATATGCTGGGGATTTTAATACTTGGAAGTTGTTTTTTAACTGCTCTCTGAAATGACAAGTTTCAGCAATTCACTTGTAAAAAATTATAGCTAATATTCACATGTCTGCCGGACCTGAGATTTTTTTTTGAAGTTGCAAGTCCATGATAAAACTCCATCAGCTGGAAAAAAGTGGGCCTGCATCTGCTGTATTTGCAGGATTTCATCTTCATTTCTCTGGGCTTTCCTGTCTTTGACTTCCATTGTCACCAGCAAGAACGCTCCATTTCAAGCTTCATTTTCTCTGTCAGGTGTAGGGACACTGACCTTGTTCTGTTGATCCACACAAGGAAGTTGTGACTAAGTGATCTGCAGAAAGTGTCTGAGGATGCCCAAGGCTCATCCTGTCGATGGGGGCTTCCCTGCTGGTAACCTGCTGAGTGTCCCACCTGAGACTCCTTAGGTGAGGAGTTCCCATTCTCCGCTCTCTGGGAGTCTCTGCTTGTCTCCCTAATCCACAAGGGAAAGGCAGCCCTCTTGACAGTAGGATTATGACAGTTGTACCAGAGTATAAACACAAACCAGGAAAAAGAAAAAAAATGTGGGGAATGTGGGTTTCCAAATAGTGGAAAAGACTCCGTACCCCACGAGTAGAGTAAAGCAGCAGCAACATGACAGCAGTGCAACAGAGAGAACTGATTTATCTGAAGCCCCTGGGAAAAAAAAAAATAAATAAAAAAGTCACTGTACGACAAACACCTTCTGGGGTTTTTTTGTTGTTGTTCTGTTTATATTTTCCTTAGCACAAGGGCCTGAGACTGAGTCCCTGGATGCTGTACAAGTATATTGAGCACGAATAATTAAATCCAAAGGGGCGGAGGAGGGGGGTGGGGGAGGAGAAGAGGGGCGCGAATAATTTAAGCCGTTGATGGAAGCAACGGAGAAAATGAATGAGAAATGGTCTGCCCCTCGGTTTATCCCTCTGTCCCTTCTCCTCTATCACCCTGCCTCGCTCTCAGAGGGACTGGGGAGAGGGAAAGGGGAGAGGGTGTACCCCCGTCTTTCTGGGGACAGCACAACCCTCAGCCCGTGCCGCCGGAAACGTTAGGGTCGCGCTGGGACAAATCAACAAGAAAGGGGGTAAAATTAAGGGGAAAAAAAAAAAATCAGAGTATCTCCCCCGGGGCGGGAGCATCCGCATCCCCGGAGCATCCGCGGCCGTGCTCTGGGATCGGGGTTGGTTCCCGCCGTTCTTTCGGCTCTCTCGGCTCGTCCTCCCACCTCTTCCATGAGAGCTGGGCAATCCACCTTAAATCGCTGAGGCTGCAGAGGAGGAAAAAAAACAAAAAACAAACCAAAAAAAAACCAAACAAAAAACACACCAAAAAAAAAAAAAGGAAAAGAAAAGAAGGCTGTGTCTGCAGCGACCTTGCCATGATCTAAAGTGTTTTGTTTACAGGCAGCACCCCCGATGGCTGCAGCAAATCGGGACAGAGGCAGGCGCCCGCTCGTAGTAGCAGTGAAACGTGGAAAAAAAAATACAGGAAAAAATATACTCGAAAGTCCCGGAGTGAAGCTGTGGAAAGATCAGAGCGCCATCGTCTTGCAAAAGAGGGGCACAGCAGTGGGGCTGCGGGGAGGCGGTGCGGGATGGGGACGGGGCCAGGGCTGAGCTCCAGCCTCCACAGCCGGCTCTGCCCCCTACGGTGCCGGTTCAGTTGGAGATGCGGCCAAAGACCGGAGGAGAGCATCAGAGAAAAAAAGGAAACCAAACAACAGCACGAAACCCCAAATAAAACTTGGAGGAGTGAAGCAGGAAGGAGGGAGGAGTGTTTGTAGGAAGGTCTGGGCGAAGAATATCCTGGCTGTTCTAACAGGCTCTGTACAGCCTATCCCCTCTCTTCCCACTACCCCTCTCCTCGCTCTTGTTTGGGTTTTTCCACTGGCAGAGCTGCTCGCTGTTTCTCTTTCCACCAGAATCGCTTAGGCAAGCCTCCCATCTTCTTTTTGGCCAGCCGCCTTCCCCAGCACTTTATAAGGCTGTCCCATGAGCCAGCAAAGCCCATCCGAACTACACACACAAAGTATCTGGGTTGCTTGGGATTTTATATATTCCCTTGCAAATAGGGGGGAATTGGGAATCATACCTGAGCTCCTCCACCAGGATGTGTCCTCCAGAGTCGAGGATGAAAAAAGCAGGGATATGGCATGACCCATCTGGAGGTTTGCTCCTAACCCACCTCAGCTGTTACTGAGCCAGAGCCACTTCCCCGCCTCTCCAGGTCTACAACAAGTGCTGATTCCTTCAGGAGATGTGGGGTGATCCTGCCATGAGATTTGGGGTGCAGACCCCAACTGTTCACCATATAATATTCACTTAACAGGAGCCCTTTCCTTCTAGGCAGGATTAGGACCTGGTGAGGTTCAGCAGCAGAGACTGTCAGGAAGGAAGGAGCCACTTCAGTGTGCAAAGGCTCTGGGACATGATCCAGCAGTGCCCAGGAGCAGAGCACTCCCTAGGGGGGCAAGGAGACGCTACCCTCCTGTTCAAGTGGCATTTGAGACCTTTGGTTCATTTGCTGTAAACTCTAGAGGGAGCCTAAGGACAGAGATCAGGCCAGCGCCAGGACCTGACCTTGCTGTTGGAAGCGTCCCCAGTGCTGTCCTTGGGCAAGTCCCACTGCCATCCCTGCTGCTGGCATTTCTGCGGGCTCTGCTCCCGCTCCCCTCTCGGCAGGTGGGGCCGGGGGTGCCCAGGGGTGCCCAGGGGTCCCGGACCTGCCAGCACCTGCAGCAGCCTTGGGTGGGCTCAGATGCCAGGACCAGCCCAGGGGATTTTGAGTCCTTGTGGGGGTGTTGCTGCAGGTACAGCTTGGGAGTGTCCTTAATGGGATTTGGGTTGTCCTTAGGGGGATTTGAGGGTGTCCTTAATGGGATTTGTTTTTAAAGTCAGGTGCTGTGTCAGAAATGCCTCTTCTGTGCTATAACGATAGGGCAGGTTACACAGTTATGTCTGCAGAAGATACAGGTCAAATTACTAGTGCTGAAAGTATTCATTCCAAAAAGAGATCTCATTCTCCAAAGAGAGAGCTCTCTGCAGCTCTCTGCTTGTCACCAGCTTCCCTTGACTTTCTAAAGAAGGAGTCCTTCCGAAATACCCTGATTTTTTCTCAGGGAAGACTGGCTCAAACAATTTTATTTTTGTTTTTCATTTTGTTTGACGTGCAAAATAGGAGCAAGCTTGAACTACCCCTGAAGCACAGGTGAAGCCAGGAGTGTCCTACAGCCAGAAGTGATGGATGCACTTTTCTGGGTAACCAACTTCTCCTTTTTCAAACCAGGAATAAGAAAGAGGATGTTAATATACAGTCTCTAAAAATAAATACACACACTTACACGTGATTATGTTGTCCCAGCAAACACTACTGTTGTAGAGGTGAGGCCTAAATCAGTAAATTGATTACTTGCTGTGAAGTGACTTAATTTCTCTGAAGAAAACACACCATATGAAAAAAAAAAGTAATCTTCAGTCTATCTCCATGTCTATAAGACTTCTCATTTAATATATCACATAACCCATGCCACTTTGTTAGAATAGCAAATTTTTAACATAAGAGTCTTAACTAGACTCTTATGTTAAAACTTACGGCAGCTTAACTTCTTATGGCAGCTAAAGTTCCCTTTCCTTTCCATGTTCCTTCCCTTCCTTTCTGCTCCTCTCTCCCTCCCCTTCCCCTTCTTCTTCCATTTCCTTCTCCCTCTCTCCCTCTCCCTTTTCAGGGTGTGGAGAGGATTAACCTACTCCGTGTCAATAAAGTTCTGAGTATCAAAAACCCAAAGCAAAAGCTGAGCACCAACAGCAACCAGGAGCCATTACTGTCACTGTGAGATTAAAGAGCTTTCCAGCCCCTTGCTCTGACACCTATGCATTTAAGAAAGTTTCCCAACAGAAGAATTATGTGCAGTGGAAATGAGTTGTCCTGCTTTTCTACAAAGCCTGAAGTGAACCTTTCTGGGAAGGGAATGATATTTTGTAGCAATGTTTTCTCAAGTACAATTCTTTAGGTTCCTGAGTGATGACACCTTGTACAGCAATTCTCTTGGCACAAGGCATTCATCTGTGAGAAGGGATGCTGGCATCATTTCTTGCAGCCATTCATTAAATAAAAACACCCTGTCATGTGTTACATTCCTCTGACATGTTTAACGTTTTTATGAAATGCATGAAATTATATGGTGCCTGGATAATTTTTTTTCCCAGAACACAGCACTAACCTCTAAGTCAGTTACTGAACATTGTTGGAAGAGCTTGTTATTTTTTGTCAGTGTTGTGTTTTGGTTTCATTTGGTAGAATCCCAACTTCACGCAACAGGCTTTTTCAGAAATGCAGAACTATGTAAATGTGATGCTTACAGCTGAACACAAAGAGGCCGCTCACCAAAAAAATACCCCAACATAAAAACATCTGCATGTGTTAGAATTTTAGGCATTCTAGGTGCTGTTTACATGAGAATCTAGCCCAGTTCTCTTTTTTACTTTTATTTTTCTTTTCTCTTTCTTTTTGCTTTTTCTTCTTTTCCTTTCTTTTTAGTTTTGTCTTTTTTTTTTTTCTTTTCCTTTTTCTTCTTTCCCCAGTGGGCTGTATTAATTGCCTTAGGATCAAAAGGTCTACAAACATCTTCCTTATATAAACAGAGGAACTGGTCTGGCTACTTTCTAAACCCTTTAAGGAAGATGACCCATCTCACATACCGAAATGATGGCATTAAGTAACAGATTACTATCAGGGCTTGGGATCTGGTTCTGGCTTCCCTTGGCCATGTCATGCACATTGCTGCAACTCTTGGCACCTCCATTTCTTCCCTCGCCCTTTTCCTAATCTGTTTAGATTTTAGCCATTGGAAATGCTCTGTTTGTACAGTACCACATCTTGTTTGTATTAACCAAGCTAGCAAGGCAATTGTACAGCTCCGGGATGCAAAAGCCAGGGCATTAACCTACAGTAATGGGATGCTATTACAGAGGAAGATGGAAAGTAGATTCTGCAAGCATCTGGCAGTGGGAAAATTGTTATGAGGTAGGTGACAGGCATTTCAGAGAATCATAGAATCACAAAATGGCTTGGGTTGGAAGGGACCATAAAGATCATCCAGTTTTCCACCTTCCTGCCTTGGGCAGGGCCACCTTCCACTATCCCAGTTTGCTCAGAGCCCCGTGCAGCCTGGCCTTGGACACTTCAGGGATCCAGGGGCAGTCACAGCTTTTCTGGGCACCCTGTGCCAGGGCCTCAGCACCCTCACAGAGAAGAATTTCTTCCTAATACCCAATCTCAGCTTTCTCTCTGTCAGTGTGAAGCCATTTCCCCTTGTCCTGTGACTCCAGGCCCTTGTAAAAACACGTACTCTACCACCATCCTTCCAGCCATGCCCACTAGGATGGTCCTGACAGGGCAAGACAGGGCAAGAGCCTCCTGAGCCCAGTAACCAAGGGGCTCCTTGTGCTCCTGAGTCTGCTCATGACTGACCTAAACCAGCCAAGCCTAAAAAAAGTAGAGCAAGCTGGCAAGTCAAAAAGCAAACGTTATTTCACTGAAGCCAGTCTATTGCAAAATGTACTGTGGCCATGATTTCAGTGGCTTATGAGAAAGATGGAAAAAGAGAGAGAGACCTTTTATTTACCAGCACTTGTTATGGGTTTCCCTCATAAGGAGTT